TTTTTTTTGTATTTGGCAGGGTGGTGGTGGTTTTGTTTCCAAGGTTACATTCCAGAACTTGTTGATGGAAAATGTGAGGAATCCAATAATAATAGACCAATATTACTGCGACTCACGGATGCTATGTCCTAACCAGGTAGTGACCGACTTGTTAACGGCACAAAGTAAATGCAAATAATTGGAACACTTTTAATGCGTCTTGTTAAGTCTTAAGACAGTCGTATCTAGCGAAACAAGTAGTCTTGTATTAAGATGTCTTTTATTTGTGACAGTTTATGTATTGAGCTCCTAAGTAGATCTGGTACTATGTTTTGACATTTACTATCCTGGGAGTTGCAGACTTCAGCAGTTAAAGTGGAGAATATTTCTTTCATGCACATTAGAGGGACTTCAGCTACAGAGGAAGCAATAAAATTTTCTTGCAGTAATAGCATGCCATGTGAAGGGTTATATTTAGAAGATATTCAGCTTTGGTCACGCAAGGGGAAAAGGACCAGAGCTTTTTGTTGGGAAGCTTATGGCACAAGTTCGGGTGTAGTATATCCACCTGTTTCCATTTTTCCTAGTGAAGGCTTCATTAAAAAGTATGGCTCGTCAGAAACCTATTCAATCCTACAAAGCAGTTAAACATATTCGGTCTTTTATCGTTGTACACGATTTTTTGATCACATTGTAATGTGATCAGGGTAGTAAATGTTATAATATTTGTTAAAAAGTGTGTAATTCTCTCATAATTATATAGTTTAGAGTGTGAATCCTTAGAAAGGTCGAAGTTGTACTAGGAAAGAAAAGTGTTCTTATGGCGGCAGTCTTCAATACAAAGTGGGGGAAATCCCCCGTTCAGAAACATTAATTATAATACAAGCTGCCTTTAGTGCCAATTCAAGAAGATAGCCTGAAATATCCCCAAAAACTATACCCCGAAACATTACAACAAATCTCCTGAAAAATGACACCTAATGTTGAAAAGAGTAGCCGTTTTGCGATGCTGTTGTGCATCTTCCACAGCAACAAAATGAACTTGACTTGAGCAGTATGAGAATCTCATCAAAGTGCAAAACAAACTTGTAACGTAAGCCTTTAAATCATCCAAACTACCGGACACCAAGCTTGGGGCATCCATCAGCAAGAGGTAAATCTAAGTTGTCTACAGTTCTGAATGTTCTAGGAACCATCTTATCAACATAAATAGTCCCCTCCAAATGATCACACTCGTGTTGTAGAATACGGGCCTGCCATCCTGAAGCATTTATTTTGACAGGATTTCCATAACGATCTAAACCATCAACCTCAACATCAAGATATCTCTCCACCACTGCCCTAAATCCATCCACACTGCAACATATAACAACAGAGGAATGAGATTTACCAACCAAGCTATTATGATTCGTTATGGTCATTAGGCAATAGGTTTTGAATTTTAAGCTCACAACTGTGTAACTTTTTCAATCTTAGGATTAGAAAAGTAGAGACTTTTACAGGATAGAATGAAGAGCATCTCCAATGCAATGTCAAATTATTGTGCCAATGTCAGATATAATATAAAGAGCATTTCCAATGTAATACCAAATTAGTGTGCAAATCCAAATTTTAGCATTTGAGCAGATAATGCAATGTTGTTTTGGTGCCAAATTTGGCATGCACTGTTTGGCACCAAGTATAGCATATGCCACATTTAGATGTCTAATCGCTATAAGTTGACATATTGGTTTTTTCATTTAATCACTACAATATCATTTTAAGATGGTAACCAGACAAGGAAATATAAGCAGACATGATAACTCATTTCTTAACACTAATCATGAACCACCAAAACTGAAACAGTACATATACAAGTGGAAACTAAGAACAAAAGAAAATAACATAATACAAGTTAATTATCCGTAGATTTACCTTAAGCACCCTTCAAAAAAGAGTGCAGTCTTGTTGCTCTTCTTCTTAAGCTTGGGGTTAATGATCACCTGCCCAAACCAACTGATATCTGAGTTACTAGTACTCAAGGTTAAAAACTAAAAACTAAGAAGTCTCCCACTTCGAATCAAAACCAACATACGAGAAGATCAAAAGGCCGTCTATCTTGTGCTTTAATCTCTTCCTTGGGTGCATAACTAATATACTCTTTTGTATCTTCCAGAACTATTATCTGCAGATATTAAATAACAGTAAATGTGTTGCCTTTAACACACAAAATAACAAAAGAACTTTATGCGTCTGAATGCAAAATGCCAATATTGAAGCTAAAAGTGTAAAAATGACGTATTCTTATGTTTGTTTTATTACTGCTTCAATACATAATACCATTTCAAATGCTATACATGCCTTGCGTCATAATTATTGTTTTAAGACATATAATAAGACATTAAAAGAAAACATTTAATTCGAAAATAACAATGTTGTATTGAGTAAATAAAAGGATCAATATATCAAGCAATAGGAATTAAGTGCTGAAATTTGACATATGTTATATTTGGTGTTAAATTTGACGCCAAGCGAAATTTAGTACTAGGAAGAGTATGGCATAGGAGAGTAATTTTTCTATTCAAACAATAGAATTAGATATATGAACACTAATTTAGCACTGCATTGATAATGCTCTCAAACCAGTTGGTTAATTGTGATATTCTAAACAACTAAACCAAAAACTGAAACTGACCCTTAATGGAATTCCAATCTGGGGAGCTGCGAGACCAACTCCAGGAGCCTTTCTCATTGAGGAAATCATGTCATCGATGATCTTCTGGATCTTATCCGACCCGATTTCGCCGGGCTCAACTTCTCGTGCGGGTTCGTGCAAAACCGGGTCGCCGGCTTTGACTATGTCGGGCAAGCTCGTCTTCTTCTTTTCTCCGAGACCCAGAAGCCAGCCCGCTCTGGCCATCGAGGGCGACCGAGGACTGTAAGTTCTCCGGGTCGTGAAGATGGCGTTCGGGGGTTGTTTCGGGTCGAGATGTCCGAATATGGGCGTCCGACAATTCCGGAGTATCGGGGTGAGAATGCTGGGTCTTAGGGACCTTTCGGATTGCAATAACGGAAAGAGACGAAGTGAGAATCTGTGGGCAGTTTCCATGGCTGCCATTAACGGGTATAATTCTCGGGTTAGTGCTGGTGGTGAGGTCTGTGGAGGCAAAGGAGGTTTAACGACTATGAAATTACGAGATTGCCACTATGAAAACAATTCGCTGCTTCGTGGTTGGATGGTTTGGGCTTGAAAGCAAGTCTAATGTGATCATTACGAATAAGGCCGGTAATATGGGTTACGATACGACGACACGACTCGAAAATGGTACGAATTTTATAGATTAGGGTTGAGAAAAAAGAGGTTCGTGTCAGAATTGGGTCAACCTGAAATTGGCACGAAAAATACGGGTCAATTTCGGGTTAGACCCGCTAACCCGAACACGACACGAAACTCGTAAAAAATTAAAAAATACATATATTTTTCATTTCATATTTTAAATTTGATTATAAACTTGTGATATCATGATAGTTATACTCAAAATCTTATACTATTATTTGCTTAATTTCAATTGATGTTTAAATCTTATACTATTATTTGCTTAATTTCAATGGATGTTATTGTATTTTAGTGTGTTACGAATTTTAAGTTATTTCTAATATGTAAAAAAACTAAATAAAAGTATACAATTTTCGTGTCAATTTCGGGTTCACGGGTCAATTTCATGTCATAGGTCATTTTCGTGTTGTGTCGTGTCAACCCGAAAAGTTATCGTGTCATGTTCGTGTTGCAGTTTTTAAAAAATTTCGTGTCACGGGTCGTGTTCGGGTTGACTACAAATTTAAAAAGAAACGATCAAAACACGACACGTGACACGAATTGCCACCCCTAATTACGAACATGTTGGATAGAGCCCATCATTGCAAAACCGACTACAAGATGAGGAGCAATCGACTACAAGATGAGGAGACCCAATGGCTCAAAGCCACTAATGATCTTA